TCCTGACAGGAGGGCCACGGAACGGGTGTTTTATCACACACACCCACCTCACATTCCTCATGGCTTTGAGCCAGGACCACTGACACAGCTCATGGCTGCCAACGTTTAAATAGCTGGGGTGACCTTCCCATATCCTTGCCCCAGACCAGGGACTCCAAATATCTCCTTCACCTCTCAGGGCTCACCGGTGCGTTCAGGGTTTTAACCTCACAGGAACCCTCAGATCTGTCAGAGCAAGCTGAAAAAGGATCATGTTAAGAATGACAGCAAGAAAACAGGAAAGGCAGGAAAACAACCTGGCAAGGGGCAGAGCACCCGACCGAGGTGTGCAAGTGGGAAGCAGGCAGGAATCCAGTGCTGCCCATGTTTTTGGCTCACCTCCCCAGAAGTGTTTAGGGAGGAGATATAAATTCCAAGGGAGAAACAGATGCACCCACTTGGATGCAATCTCCTGCCCAGGGGATGCAGGGCCAGGGCTCAGCCCGCGCTGCCTAGAGGTCTCTCCTGCTACAGCCATCCCCACCAAGCCCTTGTCCGCCAGCCCGTGTCTTACCCTTCCCAAGGTTTCCTGCTTGCTGGCTGCCTGCGGGGCCAGGCAGGGGTCAGGACGTCAGAAATCCTGCCACCTCCTGCCAGATGGCCCTGCCAGCTGTGGGTGACACCTCCTGGGCGGGAGCCAAAGCCCCACTGCAGCCCTGTACTGGGTTTTTGCTGGCCTCCTTCAGCAGCTGCAGCTGCGCCAAGAGGTCCAGGCAGCATGGGATGGGTGTACCCAAAGGGGCAAGCAGAGGATGAGCAGGATGCCTGGACTGAGTGTGCACACCATGTGGCCCACAGCTGCAGGGTGCAACTGGGGCCACTGTTGCATCTTTGCTTTTGCTGGCCACCCTGCAAGAAGGGAAACAGCATTTGTGGGATGTGGCAACCCCTGCCAGTATTTCTGTAAGGTCAGTCGGAACTGAAGAAAATGGCCAAGCAGCTTTCCCTGAGTCCTGGGCTGGGACAGATAAGGAACATAGAATCACAGAATAGTTAGGGTTGGAAAGGACCTTAAGATCATCAAGTTCCAGCCCCCCCCCGCCATGGGCAGGGACACCTACATGGATGAGGTTTTGTAGAAGAATGTCCAGGACACATTCTCTTGCAAATTCCCTTTGCAATTCCCTTGCAAACAATGCCAAGAAGACCTCAGTTCCTGATCAATACCAACATCTTAGCAGCTGCCCCACACCACCCTCTAAACCCCTGTAACAGCAGAAGGTACATTGATTTGTGGCAGGGTTGTGCAACCTCCATCTGACCACCAATCCCACTCCCAAGGAGCCATAGGGCCGGAGCTGCCTCCTCCCGCAGCCCAGGTCCCTCCTCTGCCCCCAAGTCCTGCCACAGGGTGGGATGGAAAAGCTATTCGGCATCCCTCCGAGCTGCTTCCTTGCTTGTATGGCTGACCGCCTCCAGCACTGCAGGCTCCCAACCTGCCGGAGGAGAAACTGGACCAAAACAAGCATTGCGGGGGCAGGGGGAAAGAAGCCAACTTTTTTTACTTTTTTTTACTTTTTTTTTGTAAGGGATATTGAAGACTGGAGCAGAGAGCCAGCAGAGTGAAAAATGGCCACGTGGGGACTGTGAAAATAGGAGCTGAAGAGAGGAAGATGGGAAAGGTCTAATAAAGAGAGTAACAGTATATAAAATACACAAGCGCCCACCTCCGCCAAGAAGGCTGTGGGAGAGGGATTTGGTGGTAATCCCTGGTTGTTTGAGACTATCCAGGCTGACAGTGTCTGGATCTGCATATAGGTCTGGATCAGACCAGGAAAGGTTAGGTTTTCACTCTGTCAACCTGAAACACGAGGCTTTTCCCTTGCAGCATTTTGGTATTATGTAGCAGAAATCAAAGGAGGGCAGTTAGGTGTGAGAGGATCCTCCAGCCCCAGGTAGCTCTCAGCCCACATCCAGATTCCATGTGGAGAAGAAACACTCCCCTCATCTGAGCAAAAATCACAAGGGGAGGCTCGCTTCTAGAAATCAGACCCATGGTCTCACCAGCATCTGCTCACACCCAGGAAAACTCCCCAAGTCTCACCCCAGCTCACAATGACCTTGGGTCAAACCCTGTGCTGAGCTCCCTCTCCACACTTGACCCAAGTGTGGCGTATGGACTGGGGTGGTGAAGACCTGGGTACAGTCATTGGTGCTGTTGAGGCCTTGGGGCCATTTCCCAATCTGTATGAAGCTGTTGCGGATCAGTCTGGCAGACAGTGGGGACAGAAGCAATCACACAGGTTAACTATCAGACGAAGGGAACTGCATCATTAATTACCCAGGAAGGTTATGCTAACCTTGGGGGTTGTGTCCTCTCTGCTGAGACCAGTGGAGAAGCCCGTTGCGACCTCTGAGCTCAAAAAACACAATGCTGAGGAGTGACATCTCGCTCACAGGTAGTCACACCCAGCCCCAGCCCAAGTGATCTGAAGCAGCAACTTCCCAGCTGAAGGATACTTACATTTCCTTATCATCTGCTATAAATACAGCTGCACTGTTTTCCTGACTGTGTTATTCGTGCAGTGCTTATCACACACATTCAGATAGCCAAAACACAGTCACACACTTCACAGTCTTCTCGTTCCTCTATTCTGACCTTTTCCAAACCATTTATATTCACAAACCCATGTCTTCTGAAGCTCTTCTACGGCAATGGGTGACACTGCCCAGGACCTCCACATCCGAACAGAACAGATCAGTAAATGGACATCTTCCTTTTCCCCTACTTTGCCATGCAGGGACCTAGCTCACAGTTAGGGAAGAACTCAAATGTCACTTCTGATAAACATTTATTTTTGATGGGGAACATAATGTGTTTAGAAGCAATGGGCATGTGCCAAATATTGCAACATCTTGACTCTTCTCAGCGCTTCGGAATACCTTGTCTTCTGCTAGATTCACATTTCCTGGTCCTTAGGGCCTTTTAAAACCAAAATACACTGAAGAAAAGGATTCCCAAGATCTTGGGCTGCAAGAGCGGCTACATTGAAACAACAAAACAGTGCTTTCAGGTAGCCTGCATTGCATCAGCCTGGAGACCAAGAGGAAACACCCCACAGCAAAGGGTCTGAGATGAGACTCACTGAGGGTGCCTTAATTTCTGCATTGCCCAAAGCCAATCAAGACTTCACCTGCCACAACATCACCTTCGGAACATAGATTCATCTCCCTTGACTGATTAGCTGGCAGGTTGGGGGAAAGTTTTACAGTAATTTCTGTATCCGTAGCATACTTGATGAAGACAAGCAAGTCTGACAGGTAAAAAGGAAGCCTGAACATCAGGCGTTGTTCTCTTGAATCAAAGCTGTCTTTCAGAAATACTATGAGCTTGATGGAATGAGCATTATAACCTAAGCGTTATGAGAAATACAGCACCAACCACTGCTGAGGCTTCACAAGGGATGTGAGTATCTGTAACCAAGTATTAAGTTGTTTATCCTGAAATACTTGGGTAATTCACCCATCACACATATGGTGTAGGGGGTTATATTCAGACGGCATCAAAAATCAGCGAATCTTTTTTCCCTGTTCTGCATTCAAGGTCTAAGTTTCATTCTCCAAGCTGGCTCAGAAACACCAGGAAGATATTCATTCCTGTGGTTTTATGGCATTTATATGTCAAGTCTGGGCAGAACTTGAAAATGGAGTAGTGCTATGATTTGTATTTCCATTGAAGGAAAAAGGTTGAAGTTTAAAAACAGTTGAACTTAGTTTTGATCTGATCATTGGAGAAAAGATACTAGGAAGACATGTCATTTGTACTGTCTTCTAAATTTAAACCAAAATAGTTCCTGGGTTTTTTCTTTCTGGTAAGAGCTACTATCTTACAAATCCATTTTAGTCTGACAAGAGACTGTACCTCCCATGCCTGTATACAGGTCTAAATGTACTGATTTCCAGACAACATCACCTACATCAACGATAGCCCCCTTCATCATTTCATCCACCATTATCACACTGTTGATTATACTTAAACACACTTTGATATGTGTACCACCAGACACTGTCAAACACCTCACAGAGGGGCACCAAAGAGAACCAAAGGAGAAACCACAGAAAATGGAAATGACACTTTCAGATGCTCATCCAGACACAACTTTCCCTGCTTCTTTCTTTTGAAGATGAGCTTCAGCTACTCAGTTTGGACATACACATTCAAACACTCCCAAAACTTCGACTCTGGATGCGAGTGGCAGTTGGTACTTCTCTGGTTTTGCTACACAGTCAAATGCATCAAAAGACAATGAAGAAGGCTGAATGATTCATGGTAACGGAATGAAATGCCATTCACAAATGTTTTGTCACTTATTGTATTAAAACCACTTCTGAAGATGTCTCAAAAAGCCTTTTGATATTAGCATGATTAAGAACATAATGCACTTAAGCAATCCCATAATATTTCTGTATGTTATGTGAGCAGGACCTTGAGTGACCACTTCATTCAACCCCCTGATAAATGGCTGCTTCTAACAGAAGGCTGTTATTCTGCAAGATGCCTCAGATAGTTGTACAACACCAAGGAATTCAAATCTTCTCGTCCCAGAGGCATTTCGGCTCACCAAAATTTAGCTGTTCAGCTTTAGTGTTGGGTCTAGCCTATGTGTTTCAAACCTTCTCAAGCCAACCCCAAGAGCCATTCTGCCCATTTTAAAACTGATGTCTGAAATTAATGGGAACATTTGCCTTCTAAATGTATATTTCTTTCTTTACTGACTACCTAAACATCTGCCTGGATGTCTTATCATTTTTCCTGCTGTGTCTGTCATATGAGAAAGTATCATTTACGTATGTACCCAACTTGTTACACACATCTCCATATTGATTTCCTATACCTCAAGCACACTATTATGCAAGCATGCATAATTTTATGTTTACATACCCCACAGTATTATGAAAGCTTTTAACAAGATGTAGATAAAAAAGGCCCTTCCAAAGTGCAAGCCATCCCAGATCCCTACCTGCCGGGCAGTTGCATCGCTGGTGTGTATCTCGAACTTCTCGATACCTTGGCAAATGGAACTTTAATTTCTGTCAAGGGAGAAAAAGGAGCAAAAGGATTCATCAATACCATTGAAACCAAAGCCTCAGGTTCTTCGAAAAGTGAGACTGGGGGATGCTGCGTGAGCAGAGATGGGAGAGACAGAGCAGAACAGTTTGGGAACATAGAAAGGCATTCATAGCTTTGAACAAGAAATGTGGGGTTTGATTGGAAGCAGGCTGGGGAAGTTTCGTAATGGCCTCCAAATGTGGTCCTCGTGACGGGCATTACAAAATCAAGAGCCAGCAGCAGGAATAAAGAGGTGACTGTGTCCTCATGAGAAAGCTGCACTTCTCAGAGAAGACCGATGCAACAAATGAAAAATGGAGCTCTGAGGCAGGTACTCTTCCCCCCCCTGCAGCAGACTCCTTATACTCCTGGAGACACCTGGACAGACGGAAGGGTCCCACTGAAAAATTATGGCTGAAGGTGGCCTGAAAACAGCAGCAACATCTCTTGAGACCTTCAGAGCTGTAAAGCTTTATTTTTCTCCAAGTGCAGAACAAGAAAAAAATCCATCAAGAATTTCCACAAGGTGGAATGATATCAAAATATTAATTTTCAGTATGCTTGGATTTCTAACAGTGCTGGTGTGTCAGTTGTCTGATTTCTGGCCCTATCTGAGTATCTCTTTAAGGGGAGATAAGCCACCCCATCTTCCCTCATTGGAAATGTCATTAAAATTGACCTTTGTCCTTAGCAAAATGCATTTTAGGGACAGCATCCACACCAACAGTCATAGACTTTATTAAAATAACTGCAATTAAGTGAAGAAAATGCAAATCAATCCAAATAAGTTATTCATTAATGCCTGTGAACTGCACTTGGTTAATGATTTTAGATGATTTGAGAAGACTGAGCTGCGGGGTGCCTGTGCTAAAGAGTCACTCACTTTTCCCTTCTAACTCTCAAGCCTAACTGTTTATCCCAGTTGCACCCTTTTACTGTCTGACCTACTTCACAGCCAGGGCCAACATTGTCAATGAGACAGGCTTATGCTGGACTCAACAGAAGCCCCTGCTCAGGATCATATAGAAATGACTTGATTTTCACAAGTAAGTGAGCACCTTCCAGCAAGAAAGCATCCATTTTGGGGAAATTTATTTTAGTAAGGAAAAAAATAAAGCAACACATTTTTGCCTGGGATAAGAGAAGGCAGAACTAGCTGGAACAGTTCCATTTTTTCACTTTGAAAGGACTGGCTTACTTATTGCGAGTCAAAATCAGTGAGGGTTGTTGTGACTGAGTAGATTGGACTAGACTGACTAGAAATTGAATATATTCAAAGGTTTGTTTTTTATTTTGCATGGTAGACTGAAATGTTTTGATAGTGAGCTGATTTGACATCAAGGCATGGAAAGGGTTTCAGGCAAGGAGAATTGCCAGTTCCCATAGAGCATTTTATCTCTGTTTACCTTCACAGTTTAAAAGCACAGATATGCAAATCTCTGCATTTGGGCATGTTCCCATGTAGCTGCCACCCCCAGATGGCATGGCTGTGTTTCGCAGAGCTGCCCAGCTTCAAATACTGTGTGGTAATGGTCAAACATGGGCACAAATAGGAGAGCAGAGCCTTTATTTGGGCACTTTCACTGGTATGTAGATATATGCATTCCAGTTTCCATCTACACATGTGCCAACCAAAATGTCTGAACACAAGCCGGTCACATTTGGGTGGGGTTCCCATGACTGGGAATCAGGCTTAACACAGGGGAGGGGTGATGTCTCATTTTCTAACCAGTGAAGGTCTGAACACCCTTGGCTGCAGCAAAGCCCTTTATAGGGTAGAAATCTGCAAGGAAACATGCAACAGATCCCTGCCCTGTCAAGTGCAGAGGCACCCCAGGAGCCCAGGGGAAATGGCAAGGGGAGGAAGCCATCATTACGGCATGCTGCAAGAAGCCTTGTTTGGGTTGCTCTACTGGTGCGTAAGGAGAGGAGCAACATAACTGGACTTGCTAGGGAAGTGATGACCCAGCAGGACTTGAGCATCACTGGGAGAGGAATGGGAGCAATAGCATTTCCCCACAACATTATCTGCCAGGTGAGGGTAGTGGAAACACCTGGGACAATTGAAATAGCCTTCTCAAGGATGGGAGCCCCTTGGGAGGAAGGTGCGGGAACTGCTGAGCTGCGCTAGGGGCACAGCTCCAAGCACTGGTACTGTGTGGGAATCAGGCATTTTCCGCATCCCTGGCTATCATGGTGCCTCCCTAGATCCCAGGAGCTCTGCACATCCCTGGGGAATGCAAAGGGCAATGATGATGTGGGATTGCTTGCCTTCAGTGGGAGGCAAAACTGACCGGGAATTCAGGAGCGCTGGAGATCACTTCCCTGCACAGTCTATTAAGCAAACATTGACCGCAAGAGAAAAACTCCTTGGCTTCTGGAGACCTCAGTTCAAATTTGGGTTGAGATGGTGAAACAAAACATATTCCTGACATTTTTTGCTTCCTTCATTTTCAGTGTGCAAAATACCACCTGGCCCAGTATGAGAAGCGGGCTTTGCTCAGGAGGGCAAAGGAAAGGTCTTTCCTCTAAAACTGGCCTTTCCAAGAGAAAACTTTCATTCCCAGGCATACCAAAACTGTTCAATTCTAGGGCAAGGCTGAATTCTGTAAGCAAAAATAAAGGAATGTGGTCTCTCAGAATCCAGTGCTCACGATCTCCTTTCTTGGATCTGGAGTTTGCTTTTTCACCTGAGGAACACCTAGATCATGAATCATCACAGCAGCAACTGGCAACCTCTTGCCCTGGCAGAAACGCTGAAAACATTTCTTACAGAGAGGTCTGTCAGCATAGCCTTCTTGCTCTTGCCTATCATGTTTTTCAGTGACACAGCTGCTGCACTTTCCCTGCATATATGAAAGTGATCAAAAAAGCTTTTGCCAGCACTGGGCCCAGAGCTGATCAGTTCTGACGTGGACACTGTGCACCTCTGTGCATCACTGAGTAGGGAAAAAACTGTCTGCAAGAGGGAAAGGCCAGAAGGCCTGGGCTGAAACACTGCTGGAAAAAGGCAATAATGGCAGCGCAGGCTTTTCACGTCAGTTTTGTTAACTCACCCCTAGCATCACAGGACAGGGATGGCTTGGGTGGACACAGCAGTGAAAGAGAGACCTTTCCTGACACTAAAAGGCTATGGCTGTGGCCTCCTAAACCTTGCAAGTGCCTGTCTATATGCCCATTTTGAATGGGCACTTGAGATTAGGTGAAAGAGAAGGCACTTCTTCAAAGGGGGCAGATTAATAGCTCTTTAGCAGAGGTAGTTGTTTGCAGACACCCGGGGAGGTGAAATCATTTCCCACCACTATCTCCAACAGCTAAAAGAAACATGTCTCAAATAGATAATCTATTACAACCATCAGGAGGATTTCAAGGGCGGGTGGTTTTGTTAACTCTTATTGTTTTATCTCCAATTTTGCTGTTTTTTCTTAAAGGCCCAGCTCCTGGAATCACAGGACCAAGTGGCACAGAGCAAAAGCAAGCAGCGAGCCTTCTCAGATGGAGCAAAAAGCTTGGAAGTTACACCATCTAGGTTCAAGGATTGCAAGCAGCTGAAAGGAAATGGGGTTTAGCTACCAGAGATAGTGGAAGAAAAAAAAAAAATCTCATAATTTGGGGATGGAAAACACTAAGCTAAAATTCAAGGCAGGGGGTATGCTCAGAGCAATCTTGCTGACTCTGTGAAGCAGAACTCAGCAGTGTGCTTTAAGACATTGAAGCAGGGGGAAAAAGGAGTTTTAAGTCAGGAGGGAAAGGGAGTTTTCAGGTGTGCCTCCTCTGCTTGCATAAATAAGGACAGAGTCTCAGGGAAATGAGCCTGTGAAAGCAGTGAGGAAGCAGATAGAAAATAATGAAGATCAGTGCTCCTCCATCCATGGCACTCCCTGAATTCCTTCAGTATCACTAAAGACATGACAAATACCTTCAACACAAGCCCCTGAAAGGCTGAGCACACTCAGCACAATACAGAGGAGTAGCTGATCTTACCCCAGGTTTACAGGATAAGTGCTGTTGTGTTACACACATACACTTCTATACCTACAAGCACACAAATTCTGTTGTTTGGGTTTTTTTTTCTTCCTAGCAGCAGCACTGAATCCATCCTGCTCTCCACTCTGACAAGCTTTTGGCAAATGAAATACCACCAAATGTTAGCCAGCATGGGAAAATACCTTGTTTTCTTCTTTGGAAAGCTTTGCCTCTCCTGCAAATGGCAGTAGTAAGTTTATTTGTGCTTTCTGTATGATTTTATGACATCCCATAAATGCAGAGGAATTCCAACATGCAACTAAAGTTCTCCCTGAACTACCTGTTCCTGGTTCTTTCCTCACAGATGTTTTTGTGGGAAAACTTAGTCAATTTGCGTCTGGTAGAAAAATCCCCTCTGGTATTCGCTGACACCAGCCAGAGGTTTACACAGTAGTGAGTGAAGCAGCACTGGTCAGGCTGCTTCTGGGAAAGCATCTGCTGCCCTCTCCTTGCTCATCCTGAACTGAGATGGAAACACTGCCCCAGCCAGCTGTGGGTGATCCAACACTGGGCTCCAAGACCAGGAAAACATCCCCACCAGCTGGCTTAAAATTAAAATTCTAAGCAAACCAACCCAGCTCCTCTCCCTGCAAGTTTGCGTTATTCTTGCCTGTCTGGAAGAAGGGCGCCTAACAGGACTTTGGCATTTTGCACTTTTCAGCGCAATCTGTACAGCATCCCCATGGCTGCTCGCAGATCCTTGGAAACCTTTGGCCCACACCTGAGCAGAAAATGTGGCACAGCCTGGAGGGCATCACATGCTCCAGCTCAGAGCACAAAGCAATATGGGTTCTGAACATAACCATACTGCTCTTCTACCAGCCCTTGCAGACTTGGCTTCTTCAGGTCCCTCCAGCTGATCTTCACAGCCATCAGAACTAGAAATGTGTTCCTGTGCTTGTGGGCTGCCCTAACCTCCCACCTCCCTGCCAAGCTCAGACCAGCTTTTTCCAAAGCCAGGGTTTCTTTAAAGTTTGTTACTTTATTTTGTGATGCATAACACGGAGCTGGCAGCTGTGAAACCCATTAAGGCTGAAACACCAGGAAACTGTGAGGATGTGACAGGGAGACACAGCGAAGGTCTAAGCAGGGGGCGAAATGAATATCTCACTTTCATGTCCACTTATGGCAAACCCAGCTGCAGCCCCTCTCCCCCCAGTCATGATCAGCACCGTCATTTGCTTTCCTCATTTTTCTTCTCCTATCCTTTCCCTGCTCTCTTTTACCTTTCCCGGTTTTATCCATCCTTCCTCACAAGCCAGTCTGGGAGACCCATCCAACTTAGACCCACTTTAGACCTAATGAAAAGAAGGAGCAGGGGGATTTGATTTTCTTTCCTAAGGAAAAGCCCCATATGCCACCCCACTGTCTGTGTGCCAGCAGCCCCCCACCCTGCACCTTGAGCCACTTGGCCCACACCAGTGCCTCTGGTTGAGCTGTGGAGGTCTGAAGCAGCTGGTTTAGCAGCTCAGCTGAAGCAGGCAGTGGAGCCAGAGTGTCCCCTCCCCGGGGGCACAGCCCTCCTTCCCTCCCGAGTAGCAGACCTTCCCAGGTGTAAAGAGACAGGAGACCTGGGCAAGGCATCCCTACTCCTTCACAGGCTCCAGCACCTTTCTCTAAGCAATTTTTGAAGCTGTGGCATAGTGGGGAGATGGTAACCCTGGTGGTACCCAGAAGCAAGTGCTGGTTCCTCAAGCAGTAGATTCTGTCCCATGGCTGCTCCTTTCACTGGCTGTGAGGGGGGGCTAAGGCCACCCCCAGGGGCTCAGGAAAGGCTACTAAGAAAACAGGGCATTTGGGCATCATGAGAGCCCCGTTTCCTTGCTAAGCCAGGTTATAAAAAGGCGGAAAGGTGCCGCAGCCAGCAGGACACAGGGGGCCATCCGGCCATGGGCACCAGTCCCAGGAGGCATCCTGTGGCACGTCTCAAATCACTTGGTAGAGATAAACTGTGACTTCCCAGGAGACTTGTGCCAGCAGCAACAAGGGGACCACTGCATGTTACTCCCTGTCCATGGCAGTGAAGGAATCCTGTGCATGGGTGCAACCAGAGGACACAGGTCCAGCCACTTGCAACACTTCTGCCTCCCTAAAAACCTTTTTTCTGTGGATTACTGCCACATGGGCCCTGTCACCCCCTTATCCTTCATCCAAATAGGGCACTCAAAACTACATCCTTCAGCTCCTATGGTGTTTGCTAACTTGAGGTTCACAACTTTTGGCTACAAACCCCAGCTGATCCAGGAGCTGCTCCCATGCCACCTGCAAACAGTAGCTAAGCCTGTCAGCTGCAGGCTTCAATTCCTTGCCACAGACCTTCACTGCTCCTAAAAAGCAGGGTTGGGGGGCTAGGGGGTGCTCCTGCTCCCCCTGGGTGCCAAATAGTACTGCCCCAAGGCAGGTCCCAATAGCTGCTACTCTGATCATTCCATTCTTCTTCATTTGCCATTGGGAGATTTTTTTCAAACAAACAATTTTGGGGATATCTGAGGAGTACCTCCAGCCAGTCTCAAGCCAAGGCTAGAATAAATGGAGAAAAGCAGAGGTGGGTAGAAATGGCCCCCAGCCATGAATCTCAGCCCCAAGCCTCTCCTAGAGCTGTGGGAACAGGTCAATGTGGACATGCCTGGAGAGTTCAGATGTAAGCCACCATCTGCTCCCTGACACATCAAGACCACTTCAAAGCCCCAATATGGCAAGGAATACTACAGGATACTCATCCTGTCCAGGGCAGAGGAACCTGGGCAGCCTGCAGCAGCATCCAACATAACAAAGTAGAAGGTGTAGGCAACAAAAAACCTGCTTCTGGACCCTCTTTATTGACCTGCTGAAACTCTTCAACAGCAGCTCTCACACATCCTCAGAGGAAGAGCTCACTGGCTTCAGTGGGCTTTGGATGGGGCTCATGAAGGCATAGCACAGCCATATGCTCTACACTGATGCTCTGGCAGTGCCAGTGTATCTCATTTTCTTGAGCCAGGAACTGTGGAAGAGGTAAGGGCTCTCATGGCAGCAAAGCAAGCCCGTCATGACATTACTGTGTTTGTAGTTACCTCCTTCTGTAGCCACACTGGCTGTATCATGCCCTGCCTGTCCCTCTTCCAGGGACTCAAACCCACACTGAATTCCCAGGTTTAACCCCTAGCTCTCTTTTGTCAGGGAATGTCACCAGTCACCAGAGAAGGCTGGAGGCTCTTTCCTCCCTACCAGTAGCAGCAATAAGGCTTTCCCCTTTGCAAAGTGCTGGGACGCAGCCACAGCATGAGCTGGGGCAGAGGGAAGCAAACACCAGGCAGGTCTGAGAGGTGGTAGGGACCTGAAGGCACGTGAAATTCAACACAGCAGCACGCTTGTGCAGAAGTATATTTTTAAGGGAGGAAAAAAAAAAAAAAGAAAAGGAAAAAAAGCCAAACAAACAAACAAAAAACAAAAACCCAGATAATGCAACTATGCAAGCATGCACGTGCCTAAAATCTGCAGTACATGCAAAATAAAACGACACCAACCTCATCAAGCAGTTGGTCAACTCTTCCCAAAATAGCGGTCTCCATTTGGTCTGCTGAGAGCCAGGCAGGGATCTGTGTGGGTCTGTCCGCTTCCAAGTGGGACACGCGGGACTGCAGATCAGAGGTCCGAAAGTACAGCAGGAGGCTCAGCACCAGAGAAAGCAGGGAGATACCGGGCAGCCCCGAGCCCAGCAGGAGAGGCAGGCGGCAGCATCTCTCCCTGTCGCTGGTCCTGGGGGTAGCCACGCACGCCCTGTCAAAAGCTGCTTCACTGACGCCTTTCCAGCTCTTCTCCTCCAACATTCCCTCCCTGTCCTGAGAAACAATAAATAAATAAATAGAATAAATAAAGCCTCACTCCTACTCCAAGAAGCACAATCCAGAAGGCATAGAAAAAGAGCGTCCAAGGGGAGATCCCAGTGCCAGCAAATGACAAATAACAGCAATAATGACAAAAGTGGATGGGAGAGATCTTTAAAAAATAAAAACAAACCACACACACATAAAAGGGATGCAGAAGAAAAAAAAATAATCCAACTGCAGCAAAGAGTGGGAGGGGAAAAAAATCTGATCAGGATTTTTTTTCTTTCCCCACTTCTGTGTTTCAGTCTTTTGGTTCGCTGGTTGGGTTTTGTTTCCGTCTAAGCTGCCAGTTTCAGTTCCTTCGCAGACTGGCCAGGAGCTCGCACATGAAAGTCCCCATTAGAAAGAGGTAATTCTCAGCTGCTCCGGCGACGTTGTGCTCTGGCTGATCGCGGCTCCCCTGTAACATGACACACTCCCGTCGAACTACGGCGCTGGGATGAGCGAGCTGTGCGGCTTCCCAAAGTAACCTCCTCTGCTCGCCCTCTCTCTCCACCTCTCCCTAGCTGCATGATTTATTTATGCAAAGCGCCGGGGTGGGATCGGGCAGCGGGACGCCCCTGTCCCGCTTGGTCCCCAGAGCACCTCTCCGCCGCCAGCCCTTCCCTTTGAAGTGACTCTCGCCTATGTTATTTATAGCAGCAGGAAAGAGATTGTGAAGCAGAGGCTGGGCTCACACCAGCCTGCGTCTCCTTCCTCCCACAGCAGAAAGGCTCTTTACGTGATGGTACAAACGGGCTGTCACATCCCCTGTGCAGACCCCTGGGCAGTCCGGGGCACCAGCAGTGAAGTATTTTTACCGAGATATTTTGAAGAGAGCAGCCAGGCAGAGTGAGAACCGGAGGGAAACACTTGGAAACATGAGCTGGTATCTGAGGGTTCTGCAAACAACAAGCAAAGGGCAGCAAGGAGCAACATCCCAGGCAGGCAAGCTGCAGTGTGAGGAGGGAATCTTTTGGGCTTGATTTGGGTGTATAACCTGCCGAGGCTGGGAGGCACTGAGGGTGCTACAGGAACTAATTTGCTGAGGCCCTCTAGTGAAGCAGTGCTTCTCACCTCCTCCATGTTCCTCCAGGCATGGGACATCAGGCAGAAACCCCCTTTGGCAGGGAGCAGTCACCCCAGTACGTGCCTTCGGACAAAGCCTCTTTCTGTTCTTCCTGAGCAAGGGAAGTCCACCTCTCCCAGTTTTTCCAAGCTTGACATATAATATTTTATCCTCCAGGGTGACATGCAAGCTCTGCAAAGCCCCTTCCTGTCTGTCTGTCCATCCTTTGATCCCCTTCTTGAGAGCACACAGCAGCAAAGGAGCACAGGGCCACTGTGGTGTGCAGTCATTAAAACCTGGGCAGTAAACTAGTCTCCTAAAATCTGGGTCCCTTGTGGCTCTTTTGCTGTCATTTATGCGTTCTAAATGAAGATTTTGCATGCAGTCTGTGCTGGAAGTTACTGGCAGCGAAAACTCATATCCTTCTCTCACCCGATCTCTGGTTCAGAGAGCTGGAAGGAACAGACCTTCTGGGAGCAGGTTAAAGCAAGCACACGCTGTTTCTTCTCCACCTGACAAATCCTTGGAGGGCCCAGTAGCACACAGCCCCAGTGCTTTGAATGGCCTCATGTCTTTCATAGCCACTCGCTTCCCGAAAGAGAGTTTTAGCGTCTGCAAGGCAGGAAATCCTTTCTTTATTTCTCTTAGCAGGTTTCTTGTCATCTCACTGCTCAAATTCACATTGCTGCTCTGGCACGCATGGAAAACATCCCTCTGATGGCTACAGCCTTTCAACAGTTTCTCATATGAGTGGGGCAGAGCAGTGTAACCCACAGACCCAGTGCATGTAGAATGTCTATTCATTTGGGAGGCACAGCCAACCCCAATCTCCTACACCCTCTTCGGTCTCTTCCCAGATACACCCATGTTAGCAACCTATTTCTTTGTGAAAAGAAAAGGAGTATTTGAGGCTGTGGCTCTGCCAGAGAGAAACTATGGTCCGTGAAGTTACCTAAGATGCCACCTGCCATCAAAGCAAATAAACAGGCAGTGAAGAATGAAGGGGAGATGCTTAGAGGTTGATTCAGCATTTGGGAAGCAGAAATCTACACAGATAAGTTGTACTTGGCAACTGGGATACTGGGCATCCTAGAGAGCTCTGAAGTAAGCCACTTAAAGACTGGGGTTGTACTACTGATAACTACAGCTACCTGCCTGTGTTATGCATAGTTCCACTGGACTCTCTCTCTCCTTTACACCAGCCCAAGCAGTAAAATCACAAAAATGCACCCTCTAATCTGAAAACAAATCTGCTGGGTGTCTACATTTCATTTCCACACTGGCTGGGGAGGGCTCTCTGCTCATTTGCTCTGATTTGTGACAGAGATTCTGCTGTCCAGACACAAGCATCGCCTGAATGACTCTGTAAGTGCTTTTTCCTTCCAATCCGCCAGCTCCTCTCCAGCTGATCAGTTCATTTAGGAGGTATATCATAGCTGCTGCAGGCTGGGGAGCTGCACTCAGCTGGGTTTCATGCAGAAACTTTAGTTGCAGATGTGTGGGAGGGTAATTTTTCTATCCATGAGGCATTAAGGAGCCCTGTCATCCCATGCCAATACAAATCGACTAATTTAGCTAAGAACCTGAGCCAGCTGTGTGTGTCAAGTCTGCAGCTCTGCTCACCAAACAAGCTGCCTCCAGAGATGGGCCCCAGCACGTGGAGCCGTCGTGTCACTCCTTGAGTTGAGCACGGCCCAACCTTTAGCTTTCTCAGCAGTCTAAGAAGTGGTGGTTGCCAGCCTGAAAACAGTCCTCCTGTGAGTTTGTGACTCTCAAGGCTGGTCGAGTAGAAGCAGATGCTCAGCTGCAATTTAAGGGAGTAAGTTCACTGAGTGATGACTCTTAAGGCAGGCTAGACTGCCCTTGGTACACCAAGCTCAAGGCTGTATCACTCTCTCCTCCAGGTTGATGCAATTCATCACAAGGACTGTAACCACACGCTTCCACCACTTCCAACAGGCCCTCCAGGGCAGTTATGGACCTCAGCACAAGTATGTAATGATGTCTGAAGCAAATATAAAGAAATATATAGTTCCCACAGCAGCTGAACCCCCTCTGTGCAATGAAAGAAAGCATTTAGCATCTAGCACATGGTACTGGGTCAATTGACAGGCTGGACATGGTTACACGCAGGTATGCAATTTTCCAGGTTTGTTAGTCTGTAGCTGGTACTAGCACTTTGTCCTTTCAGGGCCATGTGTCCATAGGCAAAATGCCTTACAGAAAGGTTGCCCAGTGCTCCTTTGCAACAGACTCACACTGCTCACAAAGGTGCATGATGTATGGGGGTTCCTCACGTGTGGTCTCACCGCAAGAGACCATAAACCCTCTTTGACTCCAGGTAGGTAGTGTGGCGTGAACCAGTCTTCACCACAGGCCAGGAATGGAAGAGATGGGCACGGACGAAGTTATCGCTTCTATGCACATGGTTCGATTCAGCAAGGTATCTACAGCAGGTATTGCCATACCTTGGCCTGGAAAGGGGTGGGCAACAACAGCAGGTCTTCCTCATTTTTCTTCACTTAAAGTGGAGCCTTTCATTCAAAAAAAAAAGAAAAGAGAGAAAAAGTGTCCTTCCTGTCACTAACTGCAAACTGAAGCCAACTGCACGGAGATGGCTTTGTGCTCAATCTGACCAGTAATCTTCAAAACTGCCTGAGGAGTACTTCCCTTTTCAGGCCATTTACTAGGGAGGAAAAAAACCAAAAAACATCCCATTTCCCTTTTTCCTTCTGCTCTTTTTTGTTGTTGTTTTTTTTTTTCTCTCTCAGGAAACACAGGGGTCTTGGTGTGCTTGAATGAGCCATTAACTAGCAGCTAACATCTCCAGCTATTATAAATATATTAACTCAAGGCCTTTCGTTGCATTTATTAGACTCAGGAACAACATCTGGAAACAGATGTTTTTTGAGTACAGAGGAGAGGGGAGAGGGAAAAAACAAAGTGGGAGAAAACAACTCTTACAAGTGCAAGTACATCAGAGCCTGCAGACCATCCCTTTACTAAACGCTGCTCAGATGAGCAATGCAAGGGGCCGAGGCCCGTGCAGTCACCTCCCTCCTAGGCAAGGCAGCGAGAGTACACCATCTCAGGGGAGTCTTCCTGAGAGAAACAGCAACAGGGGAATAGAAAAACACTCATCTTTCAGGCCCCTGGTGAGGAATGGTCATAGCACCCATAAAAAAGGGATAGGTAGAGGGAGAGAATTGGATTTGGGTTTGGTTGAAGTTTTTTACCTCTTTCCTAGTAAGGCCATAGACCTTTCCTAGTCCTCAGATTTTCTACGTCCCAGTGAATGCCAGGCTCATGGTGGGGTAACATCAACCCCCTGCAGCTTGTCAGTGTCTGCCACAGGGACCCACAGAGTGGGAAATGTCTAGGATCCCTGTGGGACACAGTATCCCATCTGCCCCAAGCAGCCCTTCCTCAAAGGGCAAGCAGAGTGGAAATCTTGCATCCTGAGGACTGTAAAGGTCCAAGGGGTTCTGCTCTGACTTGGAATCCCAATACCACAGCTTATGTTTAGGTACTATTTAGAGAACTACACAGTGTTACTAGAAGCAAGAAGCAAGCAGGCACATGAGTACTTAAAAATGTATCCCATAACATTATAGGTGAAACTCTTCTCAACTAGATACACACAGGCTGAAGCATAGAGATACCTAAAGGTACAACAGAGGTCTGAGCTCAAAGCTTCCCTGCATTTCTTTTGAGGGAAATGCAGTGGCACCCATACACATATATTTGCTTTTTATAAGGAAAACAACAACAGTAACAACAAAATCACACTCAAAACCCCAACACAACCAGTATTTTGTCATCTTTAACCCCAAGTTCACCTCTGACATCTCCAGCCCTGTCTCTCCTCTGATAAGCAGCTAGAAATAATTTGCTGGTCAGGTCAGTAATATTGAGTATTCTCTACCTAATTTGGCAGTTGTTTGTAGGAAGTATTAAGTAGCCCATGGAGCAGAACAATTCCTGCCTGAGGAGCTGCTCTAACCCATTGTGGAGTTATAGAATAAAGACACATTTGATCCTTTGGGAAAAGGGTTATGAAGATGCATGGAAAAAATGTACTGTCTGCACATAGTAATATCATGGCTGTTTTCAATCATTTGGTCTCCTACAAAACAAAAGGGCTCGCGCTTCTCAGTATGAACTGCTAGCCTTGACACCAGCAAAAGCAGAAAGGAAGAAGTTAAGCTAGTAGTATCTGATTGGGGCTTTATATTTTCATAACCCTAAAATGCCTGAGCTCATTGTTGCCTCCCTCCCATCAAAGCCAAACCAGCTTCATGCAGCCGCAGTTGTGGGAACCTGTCCCTAGAGCAGTGCGGGAACAACTAGCAGAGCTGGGCTGCGCCAGGGGAGGGAGTGGGAGCCCAGCCACCAGCAGCTCCTGCAGAGTTTGGGTCAGAGCCTGCAAGGGAGGATGAAGCAAATCCAGGTTTTTTTACAGTCTGGAGCCAACCCTTCCTAAAAGCTGACCATCCCTTCTCCCTCACCCCCTGCAGAGGGAAGGCTTTGCAGGAGGAGAACACTATGCAGTAAGTGGTGGATGTGCAGTTAATCTGCCCATGTTCTTCCTTATGTTTTCAACTAACCTCTCACCTTTTGTTCAGAAGATGAGGGGAATGGCTTTGAGCTAACCAGCCTCTGCACCCTTCTTTGTGGAGGAAAGAATATTTTTCCTCTCCCACAAAAGCATTTCATGGCCAAGCTCAGGGTGGGGAGCAGCTTTACTCTTTTCAGCAGCAGTTTGGGGTTTTTTTTCCTCCTGGTGCCATTGGAGTCTGTAGAGATCATCATCTCTGCTAGCCTGATTTTTTGCTATTATCTTGGTTCTTGCAAAGCCTGGATGGGAAAGAGAAACTGATTAACAACATCACTACAAATAAGAAAAAGCCTCCATCCCCATTCCCCCATATCTTACTAGCCTAAAAAATTTACAAAGCACTGTGGGAGACGAAGTTTGCTCAGGTCTGAGATAAGCCTACATCAGAAAAGGTGCTTTGGAGCCACTTGTCATTGCGATAAACCTGGGAAATCACTGGTGCAGACCACCACTACAAGCTCACAGCACAGCTAGAGTAGTGCAAAGCGTTAACCACAGCAAAGAGGCACTCAGACAGAACGCTGAAAATCTGCTCATACAGGTGGAAAATAAGGGTGAGATTTTCAGGCATCGAATCAGCATAGGCAGCTCTAAAGGTGAGCACCAGCCATCCCAGGAACAAAACGTTCTCCAGCACAAGGCTGGGCTCTGAGGAAGACCTGCTCAGTTCCCCACGGCAACTCCCCTCTGGCTCCTACTGAGCAGAAAACCTCCTTTAATTAAAGCCAGACTCAGGCATTGTCTGCTTAGTTAGTTACTCATGCACTGAAGTGCTCACCATGGTGCACTGGCACGCATAGGACTGATAAATCAGAGCACTAATTTGCATTTGGATTTACAACTAAATTTCATGAGAAGCTACTGAATGCTTTCAGCCTCACTGCCCAGCTGAGCTATTGCATCCACCCTGAATCACACCCTGTTGCTGCCTCCCCCTCACCTCTGCCGTGCACAGGGTTCCCATTCATCCTCTGGTACACCTGTGTCTGTTCACACAGATGTGGTGTGAAGGCACTGGATGAGCTGGAAACCCCAAAATCCTGGGGCCAAATAGACCTGCCCAGGAGACACCACATGCCTACCCAGAGGCAGGAAGAGCTGTGTCACAGCTCTGTCTAGGAAACCAAAGCCTAAAGTGCTGGGGCAGGCGTGTATCCCTGCACAAACAGCCAGGGAACCCACAGCAGCTTTATACCAACTTTGAAGTTAATGAATCAGAGCTGGGAGGATTAGGAAACCCAGACTAAGTGTCAACTGCACTAGGGAAGCAAAAATAATGAAGCGAAGCTCCCCCCAGAAGACTGATTGCTTAGGAGTCCAGAAGCAAAGGGGAATGGATACAGCAAACTCAGGAAATAGAAAACAACTTTTGGTACATACTTTCTCTCACTCCAACACTTGGTCTTTTATCAAAGATCATTCAGACCCTGACACCAGCATGCAAAGCAGCTCTGCTTTGTGGTAATGCAAAAGACAGGCCAGCAGCGGGGAGGTTAGTAGCTAATGGAGCTGAGTCGGAGTCAATTTCTCTGGAAATTGCTCACAAACGAAAGGCAGGAGACAAGGAGTACTGCTAGTGTACTTCTGCAACACCACTGCTTCTCCTGCACAGGAGAAAGACTTCCCTTGTGCCCTCTGCCTCCCATGCTGCAGCTCTCCACAGCTTGTCCCTGAACTCCAGGGGGAGAGAAAGCAAAGCTGAAGAAAAGCAGGAAGGATGTGAGCCCCCCATCCCTGGGAGCAAGTTGATGGTGTCAGAGAGCAGCATGGCTCTCTGCATCAAGGTTTTCCCTCCCACCACTGTTGCTTTCACAGCTTCTGATACAAAACCCCCCGGGAGGGTGGTTGACCTGCCTTATTAAAGGAGGGTCTATCAGTAAATCCTCAGCCATCTATCAAGTCTTTACCAGCTTTTGGGTATTTAGCTGCCACAGGGGACTTGTGTCCTTTTAGCAGCAAGGGGATAGTGGAAAGATATTTTCCACCCCACACCCCTGGAAGGCCAGTTCACATGTGGGATGAACAGGGCACACCCAGGACTGCAGTATTCCATTAAGGCACTGTATCCCCATCAGACTAATCACCCAAGGGGCATGTCCAAAGCAGAGTGCTAAGAAAAGAGCTTGTTTTAAGAGAAAGGGACCAATTTCTCTCGCTTGGGACTCATTAAAGTCAATGGAAAATAGTCCTTTTTGGCTTCCCTAGACATTGCCACTTGTATCTCACGCCAGCTTGACGTCAACATTATCATTCCAGATTTATGCTGGTTCAGAAAAAGATAATCCGTTAGTCCCAATGAGGAGAGAGCTGAGTGCTCTGGCCACAAAGCTCAATATCCATGTGGAGAAGCCAAGCCTCCCATTTTTACCACAGGCATCTTGAAACCGCTACTGGATGCATTATAACATTCTCCTCAATAAATCAGTTCTATCCACTTCATATGCAATACGAATAGAAATAACTGGAAGTTACACTGGAGTACTGGTACCTGCTTCAAATTTGAGGAGCCTGTTGCTGATTACAAACAACAGGGAGTAAAGCATATATACTTCCTACATCAATATTAAGAAGTAGTAAACACACCCTTACAATTTCCCTTTAAGGACATTCACTTATAATGGTGGTTCACATCCTTCAGGCTCAAAATAAGGGTTTTTCTTTAGCCATATGCTGCTACCAATGCACTGAATAAAAAACACTCCTCTACTTTAAGAGGACTCAGCAGGGAGAAGGTGTAAGAGCCCCTCTTCGCAGGTGCTGCTACCCACACCCCACCTTTGCAAATGCCCATCATGCCTGTGTCAGTGGATGTTTCAATGGACCAGGGCAAAACTGCCATAACCCATGTAATCCATTGACAGAAGTTGCCTTCCAAGGGCTCCGCTGCATGCCAACAAGGGAAGAACTGCCTCCCACCAGTGCCCTGGCCTCGGCAGCAGGGAACAGTGCTTGGTGGCGCACACAACTGGCCCTGCATATTTGGAGCATGGGGTTTAGCGCAGAGGCTGAAATATCATGCCTATCAGTAGGGCCCTGTGAACAGAAAATAGCAAAGGATCTGGTGGCAGTTTCCTTTCAAGACGTACAGGAATAGCAGCACACATCTCTGCCGGATCATATGGACTGAATTCCACAGCCCGAATCCTTCAGCTTTGAATTCTTCTACAAACCATTTTCTCCCCCTTGGCTTGTTTGTTGTTCCAGGACCACTAAATTAACGAGAATGGTTTATATTATATAACCACCCTGTCCTTACTGTGTTTCAGGGAGGAGACTCTGACAAACAGCCAGATCTAATTTGTACTTCAAATTGGCTTCTGGGCCAGACAGTCATGCCTTCCACATGGAAAATCCAGTTGCACTCACCAGCAGATATCTCGGTGTGTTCAGCCCCAAATCAGCTTTGTCCATTGCATGCTCTGGCATGCAATTTGCTTTTTTTTCTTACAGCCTTCAAGAAGCTGGTGATCACCACAGTCCCTGGTGAGGTGCATCGCTTTCCATCATCTATACCAGTTCAGCTGTCAACTCTGCCTCAGTGTCCTGTTGTTTTTCCTAGAAGCCTATTCAACAGCTGAAGCAGCTTTATAACCGCCAGATTCAGGATTTGTCTCCCTGGGAAAGTCTTTTGAGGTTGCCTTTTCCAGAGGTGACTCTGCTATGGTTGCTCAACCCATTTAACACTACCCCAAATCAAAAATAATTTAAGATGGTTTCTTACATTATGCCATGCTGCTTTTCACACATGCAAACATTAGGATGGTGCAAGATCCATCCTCTCATTTTCTACCAGGGCAGAGTCAAGGATACATTCAACCCTGGTTTAGATTACATTCAGGGGCTGGCCAGTGGCATGTTACCCATGAGACATTAACATTTTTCACAGCCACAGGGTGTTAAAATGCTGCCATTGACAGCAACAAGCTGTCATTTGCTTTGCTGGGGGCTAGCAAGGCAAGGTGGCAATTGCTTTGGGGCAGCCTCCAAATGTGGCTGGGAGCAGGTCTCAGCCACCCTGTTCCACTTGTCCAATTTGGGGACCTGGTGGGACCAGCATCAAGGACCAAGATGCACAAACTCTTACCTCACAGGTAGGTGCAATGCCTGGGGTTGGCCGCTTGCTTGTATCCAGAGGGAAACAGTATTGGAAGGTGCCCACCTATCTGCAGTGGAGGCAGGCATAAGCCTGCATATAGGGTGGCCTCAGAGTCTGTGGCTTCCTCACAGTCCCTGTTGATTCAGAGTGTGACTTTCTTTTTTTCTGTCCCTTCAGCCTTTCTGTTGTAAGCCACATATGGTTTGGGGCTATATGGCCCTAGGAATAGATAACCTGGGCTTTGTGCCACCTTTACCACTCTTCTGCTTGGTGGCCTTCAGCATGGCCTTTCTTCTTTCATCCCTTCATCCCTCAGTGAAACAAGGCTACTCTGTAAGTTGCTTTAAAATAAACTGCTGACCAGGATTATCATTCAAGAAAAAAATATGAATAAACAGACAGCTGCAAAGTGTTTCAAGCTGGAGTTATCAAACCTCTACCTTGCAAGTACTGAATCGCATACTGCCATGAACACATCCCTCTCATAGTCTGGAAAGACTTCTGTCACCAGGGAATCGTTTAAAAGTCAGCTCATGTTCGCCTCACACCTCAGAGAGACATGTGCTATGTTATCATCAAGGGAAAGGCAATGAGCAGTTCTGAGGGAGACCTGAGAAGCCCTTAGGGTCAGCACTGCATGGGCCTCCCTCACTCTTAATGCTTTGCTCATTGCTGATGGAAGATCAACCATCCCATTGCAAAACCTCTGTTTCTCTGGTACTGGGGGCTTCATTTGCCTAGCAACATGCATGGGATTGAAATGAGCTTTTTGGGGAAAGTTTAAGAACAAATTTCCTTGGGGCAGTTGTCTGTGGACAGCCAGAGCTTGCAAAGAAGGTCAGAAGACCGTCAACCATGCTGACAAGATGAGCAAGATCGCTTCTGAAAGGCTTAACAAGACGAAGCACCTAAAAGCCAATGCTGCATCTGGGAGCATTTGGGTAGATTTAGCCCTGATGGGCCTTGCAATGAGCACTGCATTACAGAACAGCACCACAGTGGCTGGCCTGAATTGAGAGGCTCAGCCAGGCATGTTTCTTATGTGGGAGAGCTGAGGTATTGAGCAGCACAGAGTTGGGCAGATTTGCTGCCAGGTCTACACTATATAGCCTAGCTGTCTCCCAGTACCTCTTGCAGGGACAC